ATTTTTTATCAGTCAGAAGGGAAAAAAATCATGTCATTTTAAGACTGCTGTTGAAGCTGTTTTTTGGTTGGAGGCCTCTCTGAAAGGCGATGGCGCCCTTTCCCCCTCCTGCAGCCCCAAGAGGCGGCACACTTACTCAAGAACGTTTGAACGGTGAGGCTTAGAAACCCTGGAAGTCTCAGGTATAAATAGCAAGTGTGGGGATAGCCGTAGAAACTAATTGCACATTTCCTCTCCACCTGAAATAGCTTCCTCTTTTAGCCTCCGTGCTTTTCGCTCCTCCTGACTGCGTTCAGGAAGACAGACTCGGCGTCACGTACAGACACCCGGCTCACAGCCATGGCTGGTACATCCTCGGTGTTAGCAAAGTAGAGAGTTCTTTCCAATACATCTTCTTCCTCGCATTGATAGCCAGAGAATACAGCAAAACTGTGTGGCACAGAAAGTAACCTCGACCAAATATTCCTGTTAACCAAGAAGGGAAGACTCTTGGCTAAGTTCTGTTACTGGGTGCATTGGTTGGCGTTTTTCTTCACTAGTTCTAAGAGAACCCTGGTGCACGGTAAGGCCCCCCGCCTGTTTACAGTTTGAAGTCTCTTTAGTTATCGAGGAGCCAGTATGCAAAAAGTAAATTATTTTGACATTAATGATAATGTTAACAGTGCTTGTTTTTCAGTTCCCCCTTTAAGGAAGAAAGAATTTTCCCATTGCATTGGAAATAAATTTCTCAAACCTTGTACTGTTGTTACAGTGGCTCATTGACGTGGTTTTACCTTGAAACAAAATTTTTTGAGCCATGTCAATAAATGGATATAATAACTTCTATTTTTAGAATGCAAAAGCCAGTTACAAATGTAAATTTAATTGAAAGGTAGTTGGATACATTCGAATCCGACATAATACTGGCTTAAAACAATGGCAGGATTAAGGGCTTTGGAAGTTGCATGATAAAATTTGGAGCTGCTGTCAGATCTCTCCTATATGGGTTTTCTAGTTATATAGAAAGCATTTTTTTAAAGATAAGTACTTCCAGATGAGCACATCTACACTGTAACACGATGCACGTAATCACTGTAACGAGAACTGCCATCGAAGCAAGTTATAACAACTTACTTTGCATCTCGCTCTCCTGAATGTGGCAGAAGGCCGCCGCTTTCACTCTGGACACAACTGCAGTCTTGCTGCTTCTGAAGAGCTGTGTCCCTAGTGAAACAGGCTCGTTTTGGTTCTCCCCTACCAACCAATTCAGTTGAAGTGCTTGTTGTTGTTTGAAAACATTCTTAAAATATGCACCCAAAATTTCAATTGCACACATGACGTATTAGAGGCTTTTCATTTGCATTCATTGTATTCAAGACTGTCTTGTGAAATTTGTGCTTCTCTGTAACTTTTATGGAATGCTAATCCTACTGAGATTTTGATCGTGAAACAAGTGGAAATAACAATTGAAGTGATCACGTTATGGTACTTCATACAGACCCCAGTAAGAAAAATTACAGGTGGTGATTCTAAATTATTTGCCCCCAATAAAAAATCTGAATTGTACTGAAGAATGTTTTTCCTTCACTTATTGTAGTTTTTAAAACATGTTTCCGTTAAAAGGCAAATTTATTATGAAACTTGGGTTATAAAATCCAACAATTATTTGTTTTGTTAGGTTCATTAACATAATGAACTAACAGATCCAAAATGCCATTTTCACCCAATTTCCTCCCTTCGGTTTTGCTTTCCTTCTTCAATTTTAGAGGAATACAGTGGAGGCTTATTTTACTTTGACAAGAATATCTTCACTGTGTTTAGGTAACTATCAATTTGCGTTAAACAAAATGGCTTATTATTTGGTAAATAGTACTTAAATATTATTCTATGCACAGTTTCTACAATTGAGAAATAATTGTAATTTTGCTAACCTGCCAATGGGAGAAGAAGAAAATTACCTTCCCAACTTCCATGAGTTTGGAGGTGAACCCAAAATACTTAACACATGGAAAAAACCAATAGAAGCGTAAAAATTTATCTTTAAAGTAAATAGAGATTTCTTTGGGCTGCTTAAGACCTGTGAGAAAAGTACAGTGTAAAATAAAAGTCCTGTTTCTCTATTTCACACGCCACAGTTGTTACAAAGAAACTCTGGGAAATGTTCCTCTGTAAAGATATAATTTATTTATAATTAGTTAATTCTTCCAACAGTCAACGCACTTTCAATGATCCAGAAGTCAGCCTAATTTTGAAGCATTTTCTCAGTGAATTGTCCCTAGCACATATTCCATATGAAAAAAAAAAGTATTCTTTTATAGCACAGGGAACTATATTCAATATCTTGTAATAATCTATAATGGAAAAGGATCTGAAAAAGAATATATAAAACATAAATAAATATATATATATATAAATTTACTGAATCACTTTGCGATACATCTGAAACTAACACAACATTGTAAATCAACTGTACTTCAATAATAATTTTTAGGAAAAAGAAAAAGTATTCTTTGGACAAAATATACACTGTGTTTGTGTAAAATTTTAAATGTATGTACCATGTGAATGCTTTTGTATACCATGTAAGTTACACATTTTTCTCCTCTAAGGAATAAATGTAAAAAACATTTCAAGAAATTAGCAATATTTAATTTCTTGGTGTTTTTCTTTTTAAAAAGTATTAAAATTAAAAAGCTCTATGAAGAGTACGGCAGGCCTTCTAGATCATAGCTTTAAAGTGTTAAGTTATAATTAATAATTACACTAGTTAATGATGTACTGTAACACAGCTTCCAACTTGATTGCTTGGTGCAGATGAACTTTTTTTTAATGGCCACTTACGTTTTTAATATGTGGGTCTACAGGAGAACATTCCACTATTGTAAAGAAATTTAAAAGTAGAGATTCTTTGCATTGTGTGATCATTTTTAAACTACATAACTAAAATTTGAGATAGCCCCTGTTTCCTTATCGGTCATTAAGAAATTATTTACGTGAAGAGTTGAGGGGTTTTTCCTGCCCTGTTCCATAACCTTTGCAGGTTTCAGATGAGTTTTTGCATACATTGAACAAAGTT